CTAGTTTCTCCATACAGGAGGCGTCTTGAAGCTGTCATTGACAACAAAGGCTTTTGTACAAAGTATTAGATAAATGGATCACTTGGGTTGTTACCGACATCTGGTGAAAATGTCATGTCATTAGCACCTCTAGTGATATATTTACTGAGAAAAATGGTGACGTGTTCAATACTTATTTTACCCGTTGTATGTCCAACTTTACCAATGCAAATGGAAAGACCTTACTTTGTTTTTGCTTCAAAAATGGCCAAGATGACTGATTTTGTCTTATCTCAAAATTTATTTATTTTTATTTTTATTTTATTTTTTTTACCGAGTTTTACAGTATAAATACCAGCCTATACTAACACTAGTTCTTTTTTCTAAAATGTTCAGTGGAAACACTCCTGATGTTAATTTTTAAGTAAGAATTTTAAGTATTTGCCTCATATTCCCTTGACTCCTAGATAAAAACACAGCTAGTTCTGCAGCAGATATTCTCCTGGCAAGTATTAATTTTTGTTTTTCACCCTGGTCGATTGAAGCTCTTTAATTTCTCACTGTCATGTTTGTTGTGACGTTTGTCTTTGTATTAGAGCTGATGTTCACACATTGCTGTGTAGTGATGAACATGTATTATCTATCTCATCTTACTCATCCTGAACACAGTCAGACCTGATGCTTTTGAAGGATTGAGTGTAATTTATTGACTTAAAAACAAAAATAAGAAAAGCCTTATTTGTTTTTGAGGCAACAGTCAGAGGTGAATATAGAAAAGATTGATTTGATAACGAGATAACATACTTGTGTGAAGAATTACATAATCAGCTTCTTGCTGTCTTCTCTGCACCATCTGTGACATGATGTTCATTTACATGTTATTTCAGAATACACTCTTAAGGAAATAAAACGACAGATAAATGTAATTTGATGCTACATTTAAAACTATTTAAGTAATAATTTTGTTAGACTCATGTTTTGCAGACACTTTATTAACATTTTATCCAGCAATTGAGGAATAAATAATGACAAAATCATGTTTTGTAGCTTTTTGTATTTGTATTAATATATTTTTTAATTGCATGCTAAAAATAAATACTTGAAAGAAGCTTTGGAGAGCTTTGGGGAATGTTAAAAGGTTACACTCCTCTTGTTTTCGACTTAATTTTGAGATTTGAGCCCTGTCAGCACTTCTAAATAAACCGTTTCTGTTTTCTTAAGTGACGAAAGTTCCATACTCTCCTTTTACTATTTCTGCCTCTTACCTCAAAATGTTTTTGCTCAAAATGTTTCTATTATTAGCACGTTGTCAATATGACATTACAGCCTTATCTCACAGTTCCCAAATGCAAGCAGTTTTTATCTGCAGGACAGGCTTAAGATCAGGTTTCAGGTCTGAAAACATGCAGGCTTTCATTATAAACTGGTCCACTTGTGACGTGACCACAGTTGATATGATAATGGAATACAAAGAGGTTAGGTACATAATGCTTCGTTTTGCACACATGCTTTATTCGGTTGTGCTAATGGGGATTCTTGCTTCACTCTTAAATATAATTTTAAAATAAAAAGCCTAACATTTTAATGCATGTTATCAGCTGCCCTTTGTGCCAGAGTGTTAAACTAAAATCACCTGGAGATGAGAGAGGATAGAGTTATCAATGTTTTTGTCAAATCTTATAAATACTATGCACAATCTCATGTGATATTGCAAAATCTGTTAATAAAGTGCAATGTGGTTAATAAATACTTTTTGTTTGTTAATTTGCAGTGATCCTTATGTCAAGCTTTCCCTCTATGTTGCTGATGAAAACCGAGAGCTCGCCTTAGTCCAGACAAAAACCATTAAAAAGGTAAGTCAGAAAGGAAGAGGTGACTTTCAAACATGTTAAATACCATTGTGCAACACTTTTTGACTTTTACATTGAATTTCCTGAACATGTACACAGTCCACCTAAAAATCAAATCAAAGTGGTCATTTCAAGGCACAGGAAAGCACCGGAAAGTCATGCTTCCTGTTTCACTGCAGCCGAGTCCAAAGGGAGTCACCGGCCAACATCTTTCATCCCAGGCCTTGAGGAGAAAATTTGTTCACAGCAGGGGGAGCTATTACTTGATACTAAGGTTAATTTTGCTCAGGGAAGCATAATTATTAAGGTGGGCTGTACAGTTATATAATTTTCTGAACTGCATGGTTTAAATGAGAAACGAGAAATTATAATGTAGGTCTAAAACTTGGATGGAGCCTGACTAAGCATTACAATAAAATTAACATTATTGATAATATCACTGAGTTTATTCTTTCATGGTAGCTGTGGTTCGCTGCAGTCCGCTGCCAGAAAAAGCCTCTGCAGGAGTCGAACAACTCAAGCCTCCATGAAGGCAGACATATGCTGCCAGTGGCTACCATAGCTTTAGAGGATATAAATAGCTGACAATACACTGCATGGCTCTTCTGTGGGTTCTTCTTCTTTAACTGGGGCACCTTTGATAGCA